CGGGGCAGTGCCACTGACTGAAGTGTCTTTAGGCCATTCCCAAATTGGGGACATTTCTCGTTCTTAAGCACAGTAGAATTGTAAATGGGCTGATTCATGTCACGCTCATAACTGTGCCTGATCTACAACAGGGAACTGCTGCTTTTTCTTTCCTAATCCTTACTATTGTCATTTTCCTCTACTTCTTTTGTATGTTTGTCACTCTCTTGTGACCTGCTATTTCCGGGGTGCCTTGATAGTCGAAGCAGACTTGATGCTGTTGAAGCTAGAGAGGTTAGCAGAGTAAGTCTGATTCCCTGTAAAGACTTCTCTGTTGACATCCACCCCTTGGCGCTCACATGACCTTATTCAGTTGCGAGAGTCGTAAAACCTCTACTAAAACTAACAGACTCTGGAGAGCAATTTTGTATTTCTGTAATGATTCTATGTTGTTTTTACACTTTGCAGTCTTTCATAACGGCGTGATCTTCGTACTTATTCTTTTGTCCTCTCTCTTTCCATAGACCCTTGTTGGCAGCTCTTACTCAGAATCATAGAATCATCTTTTATGAGGAAGGAGTTCAAGAGTGGGTACAGGTATGCTTCCATTATCTCCCTTGTTGTAGGAAAATGAGAGAACAATAACTCGATTCTGGGAGAGTAGTCTTGCATGCACATAGGGAAATGGGCGAGATATAGAAGTCTTTTGGTTATATACGTATCTCGCTATGTATGTGTTTTAAATGCAAAGAATATACATGTGTAAAAAAAAAATATTGGACCTGAAGAATCAGTTTGCTATGTGTATGTTTTGCTATGTGTGTGTTCGCAATGTGCGGGCTTGACTGAAGTTTTAGAAAAATGTATGACTGCGATAAAATTTTTATAGGCAAAACTGTGATTGTTTTTGGAACCTGTCTCTGGTAGACACAGGGATGCCAAATGTCCGTTTTTTTCTTTTTTTTCCTTTTTTTTTTCATCCGTTGGAATTGTAAAGGAAAGGGGAGAGGTAAGAGAGATGTTTTTGTTTTGCTCATTGAAAAACTTTACAAGGTTCGGTTTACGTGAGATGTGATACTCCGCTCATTTTCAGGTTTTTTTTTTTTTTTTCAAAAATCATTTGGCATCCCTGTAGACTAGAACCCTGCGGGTGGTTGGCGGGTGCTCTGGTGTGGTCTGCTCCTTCTTTCCCATCAAACACCTATCATCCTTATCTACCCTCCTTCTTTTTTATGTCTGTTACGGTACTCGCTTGTAACACCTCTAATCTTCTTGCGCTCATATGACCATACGCAGTTGCGAGCGCCGAAAAACCTCTACTAAAAAAAGACTAGAACCGTGGTTTTCGGAATGTAAGCTCTTGCTCAACGTGGACTTTTGATCTGGTGAATGGAATTTTTCAAGGCTGGTTTTCGTTTTGAAACTTTGAAGAAACTTATACCAACAAACTATTTATGGGTGGCTGGAGGACGCAACTGGTCTTTGACAGCATATCCTTTCTCTCGAAAGTGGATCTTGCATCTGCTGAAAAATTATTTTTTTAAAAATGGACGTAGCTCTAACGGACGTATCTTAAACACTTTCTCTTGATAGCGGATCCTGCATCCGCTGTAGGGAATTTAAAAAGTGGGTGGTTGGCGGGTGCTCTGGTGTGGTTTGCTTCTTCTTTCCTATCAAACGTCTGTCGTCCTGATCTCTCCTTCTCCTTCTATTTTGTGTTTGTTACTCTCTTGTAACACGTAATCTAATCTTCGGCACTTATATGACCTTATTGGGTTGCAAGTGCCGTAAAACTCTTACTAAAACTAAAAACTAAACTTCACTTGTTGCTGTCTGTCTGTCTTTCTTTTTCTTTTCTCTACAAGATCGTCACAAGTTATTGTGAGGATGTGTGTCTTGTTCACTCAGGAACAAACATTTTCTGTCCTTTCTTCCTCTGTCGCGTCAGGTGGTTGAAATGAGCGACCTAATTAAGGCCCACATGTTGTCCGGTGTGAAGACTCCGATTGTCCTGGGCAAACGTATGAGTTTTGAGGAGTACGTCAACCTGGCCTACGGGATGAGCACAACTGGTGAGTACATCTTTTTAAAAAAATAAATTTTTTTAGTAAGTGTTTTACGGGGCTCGCAACTGCATAAGGTCATATGAGTGCGGGGAACACACCTAACATTTTCAGTTGGTAGAAATTTTGAATTTTGCGCGGGTGGCGGTCGAAGCCTACTCTTATCGATTTTGGACCACCTAGGGATCTTTAATGTGCGCAACTGGCACACGGGACCTCCGAGATTTTTCGCCCTTGTCCAAGAAGGCTAGGTGTAGATCTTTCCTACCAGAAGATCAGGGGTGTGGCTAAAAGACAGCAGTAAGAGGGAGCCAAGGAGAAGCAGTGGAAAGGCTACAGAAAGAGTCGGGAGCCCAGAGGAGGGGCAAAGGAGGTGATGGGGTGGGGGCAGAAAGTGGAGATGAAAGCAGACGACAGAACATTGCTAGAGAGCAGGAAAGGAGGTGAAAAGAGACAATTTTAGAGAAGAAAATTTTTCGGTTGCCACTCGGATACGAACCCGGGACCCATGAGAGGCCATGCTCAGTATATCCTAGAGACGACTGTTCATTAATCGTAACGATAGACCCTCTACCTTCTCTATTTATACTGGCGTAGTGACTAGGTGCTTTGCTGATGCACACAGGAGACACAAGTTCGATTCCTGAGTGGGGAGAAAATTTTGTATCTATATATTCTATCCCTGTCAGCCCGCGTTGGCCTAGACAGACAGGGTCGGAAGCTTGCAGGGCAGGGTCGGAAGTCTGCCTCCTTAAACGATCTAAATTGTGTCGATAGGGGCGTAAAAATACCTTCGTAACAAAAAAAAAAGTTGTAATAATTTTGATTTGTTATGCCTACCACTGAGGGAAATGTGTTATGCTTTAGTCGTCATTGGTGTCGATGGACAGCTGAAGAAGCAAGAGTCCGTGGTTGCACTGAGATAGTACAAGGGACAATGTTGACTGTTCCCCAGAGATGGCGTGGTCTTCTGTGTTCTGTCCAGAGGAGAGCTCTGACGGGTCCTTTTATCTCTTCTTCACCGGGATGAGGAACGGCCTCGTCCATGTCTGGAAAATTTCCACTTCTCTTGGCACGAGGTGAGCCCACTACTTGGGAATTTTGGATTGGAAAAAATCCCCAATGTCAACGGCTTAATAATGATAGTAATAATAGTAATTATAATTATAATTATAAGATTAATGATAATAATAACAATAATGACAATACTAATAATGATGATAATGATAATAATAATGATAATAATAATGATAATAATATAATAATAATATTAATAATAATAATCGTGATAAAAATGATGTTAATAAATTTCACCTGTATTGCGGGTTTCCACGAAAAAAGTGGTCAATGAGCTTTACGAGAATACAAAGATCACAAGCACTGTATAATGCCGATAGTGATTGTTCCTCTTCTTTATTTCTTTCTCTCCCCTACTTCCACACACAGACACACACAGATACACACACACACACGCACACACACACACATACACACACACATACACACACACACACACACACACACACACACACACACACACACGCATGCACACACACTCACACACACACACACACATACACCCTCATACATATCGGTTATGACCTGGTTTAAGAAATCTGCATTCCTTTTTTTAAAAAGAAAAGTTTTGATTATATCTTTATTGATGTTTTTTACGTTTTAAAAAAATCTTACCTTTAATGATAGACATAGCATTATGTCGGTATACTGTCGAAACAGTCCAAGATGGCCGCCCATTTTTTAGGAGAAAAGTGGTTGTCTTAGACAGGTGGGTGTCTGGGACAGTGTCGTTATAATATAAATACAAGGCAAGGTGTGTCGTGATCATCTGTACAGGTGATGGTCTGGCCCAGGCTGCTTGTAGAGCAGGTGGGACTGTACATTCCTTCACAAAGAGGGGCCCAATGATATATGTGGGACTTGCTGACAAAATGAGTTACTTCTCGCACTTCACAAATGGAGGTTTCAGCACAAAATCAACAACGGAGTAAATTTGTAGACTCTCAACTGATGTCATTTTCTTCAAGGTTACCATGTCTTTTATTATTTCCAACTAATGAATTGTAAAAACTCAGCCTATCAATTCAACACATCTATTTCTACACGGCTGACATAGGAGAAGTAACTCATTTTCTTAGCACATCTCACATATATATATATTTCTTTCCTCTTTCATGTTAACACTTTTTTAAAAAATAGTTACGTAGAACTGGGTGCTGATTTCAGATTTCTTTGTAGATAAACTAGCATAAACCATCACCACCAGCACCAGCACCATCATCATCATCATCATCATCATTGTATAAAGAAGGTATTAGAACAGTTAAGACCTTGTTGTATTTCCAGAAAATATGTATTACAGAAATTTCAACGTTTCGCCCTCAACGGTCTTCCTCAGGAACATTCACAAAAATAACTGGCAAGAATCTAAGTATACACAGGCTATAAAAACTAAAGTGCGTACATAAATGTCTGAATATTTAAAGGAGCGGTGAGTACAAATCGCCAGAGAGAAGGGAACACTAAACCAGAAGTGGTAGAGAGAGAGAGGGGGGGGTGGAAAGGTGCGTGGAAGTAAGGAATATAAAAACAGAAGGGTGCAGTGAACACAAATCGGAAAAGCCAGAGAAAGAGAAACACTAGGGCCAGAGGTGGCAGAGAGAGGGAGAGGGAAAGAGGGAGAGAGAGAGAGAGAGAGAGAGAGAAAGAGAGAGAAGGGGGGAGGAACATATGCATGGAGGTAAGGAATATAATAACGGAAGGGTGCGGTGAACACAATCAATGAGTCGAAAAGGCTAGAG